TTAATAAAATCATTTCCTTTCCAACCATTCATTTCTATTACTCCACGCATTAAAAAGGCGTTCAGACCTAATCGCTTCCTTCCTCCGCATTTTAATCTTACTATATACAATGGTAAGAGGGATTTGTGAACAGTTTCCCTCCATTTTCTACACCTCCTTTTGGGCCGAGATTCTTCCTATTTAGCGGGCCTGCAGTTGACAGCTACTTTATCGGGCTGTGGTTGACAGCTACTTTATCGGTCTGGGGTTGACAGCTACTACCTGTAGTGCGTTGCTCCATAAATTGTTTTATCTCTATTCAATTTTAACGGTTCCATAAAGTTGTATTGGGAAAAAAAATTGTGTGGCTCAATAAAGTAAATTTGAGAAAAAGTAACTTTATGTCAAATCGATCCATTGTAAAGATTTTTAAAATCTAGCCATTTAATGAATGGTTAAAGAAATCATGAAAAATGTAATATATATACTCGAGCATAGTGATGTGAACTTCATTCCCAAAAAATAAACTTCTCAAGTAGCCTAAAAAACATCAAATGTCTCACATTTCTTCTTTAAGCATGGGGTCTTATGCCGAGCTTGACAACACTCGAACCAATTGGATGTTCAAGTTACGGGCCATGCGTGTCTATTTTGTTCCCGTTTGGACCAAAGGCGGAGATTCAATGGTGATCATTTCTCACGATGAACATGTATGATATTCACAATCTTTTTACGCTTAATTGTTATTTATTTATTAATTTCTTCTAACCTATATGTGTGTGTCCACGAAATCTAGAGGCAAATATGCAGTTAAATATGTATTTTATATACATGTTTTTAATATATATATATATATATATATAGACACATACACGCACCCACAAAAATATATTACGGAGTAATATACAATAGAGGCTCAGATTTTTTAAATCCGGTGTTAATTTTGAGGCAAAATAAGAAACGAAATCACCATGGCTGCAACAACGGGGATTAATTCCGTGACGCCACGCCAAGATACGTTCATTTTCTTCGATGCCTCAAACATTAAAAGCCTAAAAATCATAGTAACTTATTTCAGTCCTTCCAGATCATCACAGCCCTATATTCACACACACACACACACACACACAAAATTGATATGTTTGAGGCCATATCATCACAGTACTACTTTTCACAATCCTTTCATCTCATCACAGCCCTATAATGAGGCACACACACAAAATTGAATTTCATGAAAACTTTGAAGGCAAAGAGCTGGGAATAATTATCATACATATATATCACATACATATATACATATATGCATATACATGTATATATAAATATATAGACATATACATATCTATATATAAACACACACACACACATGGTATGCACATATTAACAGTAATAAGAACACACTATATGTATTAATTTACAATATGTATATTATAAAGCTTAACAGATTGTGTCCTATTTGCAAAGGGGCAGATAATGCATAAGAAATTTCGAAAATGTACATAGTATATTATAAGACTTCTTATATAAATAAAGAAATTTATAAAAAAATATATGTATTTTTGTATTATAATTAAAAACATCTTGCTAAGTATAATTTTATAGGCTTATATTTTTCAAATATTAATATATTTATGTGTATGTGTGTGTGTGTGTGTGTATATATATATATATAAATATATTGATATATATAAGTATATAATTTCGAAAATTATATACATGTCTATATTATACACACACACAGATATATCTATATTATATATATATATATATATATATATATATATATATATATATATATATATAATTTTCGAAATCTATTTATACATCAGATGATATAAATATGCATTGTAACACATCTTACTGAAAAATACATTAAATTAAAACGGAGCCCAAGATCATCCAAAAAAACGATGTGAAGAAAAAAAGTGAAAATAATCGGCGCACATGGAAATCGGCTAATGAAAAAAATCCAGAATCTAAAGAAATCGGGTAATGAAAATCCAGAATCTAAAGATCTTTTTCATTACAACAGATCTTAATGAAAAAAACTATAAAATCAAAACAAAACGCAAAACGATCCAAAAAATATTTACTAAAAATATCAATACCTAATAAAGCCATTGATGCATCGACGAACAAAATCGGCGAAACCAACAAATGTACTCTGTATATGTTCAATAACCAAGAAACAACAACATAGGAGAAAGAGAGATACAGCAAGTATGTCGAGAAAGAGGGGGTGGATGCGGCGGAAGAATGTAGTAGATTTAATAAGGTTTGATAAGTAGGTTTTATATGAATCGAGTCTCGGCCGAAAATATTGTGTGGGCCGGAAATAAAATGTGGGCCGAAAAAAGTTTAGTGATTGCCTATTACTCCCTCCGTCTCTGAGTATTTGTCCACTTTTGACTTTTTTCAGTTAAAATTGATAAACTTTGACATTAAATTAAATAAAAACGATATTAGATATTGATACAAACATAGCTTTATTTGATTTATTATATCAAATATTTTCAGAATATTATTTTATCTAATTAAAAAACAATATATATTTGATTTAATTCAAGGTCAAAGGTTGAAAATAGTTGACCGAAAAAAGTCAAAACTAGACAAATATTCTGGAACGGAGGTAGTATATATTTCTATCTCCGTTCCTGAGTTTTTGTTTAGGTTTGACTTTTTTTGTTATGTATTTTTAACTTTTGATCTATTATTAAATACAATATATATTGTATTTTAATTAGATAAAGTAATATTTTGATAATATTTGATATTATAAATCTAATAAATTTATTTTAAGATGTGACAAATATAATAACGAATTTTTTTACGGTGCAACACACAGGTACGAATTTTTTTTTGAGCTATTGCTTATTAGATATTTGCATCTCCTTCCCTAAGTTTTTATCCTGATTTGACTTTTTTGGTCAATTATCTTCAATTTTTGACATATAATTAAATAAAATATAAATTACATATTAATTAGATAAATCTGTTTCTTGACAATAATTAATATAATAAATGTAGTAAACTATTTTTGTATCAATATCTAATACCATTTTTAAATTTAAGGTCAAAATTTACTAATTATTACGGAAAAAACCAAATGTCGACGAATACTCAATGACGGAGTGAGTATATTTATTGGTTAAGTATTCACTGGCTCGAAAAAACATGGATGAATTATATAAACAAATTTTTATCCCGAGATTGTTGAAAGGGAAAAACATTGGTCAAGAAATTGTTATTCCGTGATTGTTCTTACACCATCGGATGCAAGAATTCTTTTTAAATTTCAAAGGAAACAGTTCCCAATTATGATTTCTTATGCTATGACAATTAATAAAAGTCAAGGACAATCATTGACGCATGTTAGGCTTTTACTAAAGAAATCTGTATTCAGTCATGGCTAGCTTTATGTGACATTATCACGAGTCACTAATCGCAATTGATTAAAGATTTTGATTTGTGGTGAAGATCATTTGACATCTAATAAAACTGCAAATGTAATCTATAAGAAGTTTTCTAAAACTTATTATGTTATTTTATCACATTGTGCGTTGTTGTAAAACTTCTCACCCTTAATATATATTACGTATTTTTGTTTAAAGCAAATTTTATCTTTTACTTCTATCAATGCTTCCCTTATTTATTTAACTTTAACTCAGACCGTGCAACGCACGGGTTTGAGTCTAGTATTTAAAAAGTTAAAGTGACTCCAAATGTTACATAAACTTTTTTTTCTCTCACTAATGACGAACCTCGTCTCCTTTAAAATTAAAGTTTGATAGGAAGGGTGGCAGATTCAGAAATTCAGTAGTTGGCAGGGTACGAGAATCACGTCACCTAATTATTTTAATGTATTTTTAAACGGCAATGATCTTTTGACTCTTGAACCTCGGGTAATATTATGACCCGAGACCCTACGGTACTCCATTCGTAAAATTGATGGTTCATGTCCCCCTAACCCCCCCTAAACCCTACCCCTACCCCTTGCCCACCCCACCCAAGCACCGCCCCTGCCCCCTCCCCCTTTCGCCGATTGGCTACAGTATTCATTCTAATGAATGAATATTCGTCAGGTATATAAGAAACATCATAAATGAAGGGACGTAACTGATTAGGATGGACTAATATAATTTACTCCCGTCCTCTCGCTAAAATGAGTTAACTCTTTGTTCTTTGTTTTGTAGTTAAGTAACCATTTATTCTGCTAGAAAAGTCTACACAAATTTTTAAATATACTAAATTAAAAATAATTTTAGCAAAATATCGTAAACTAAAACAAGTAACTTTATTGAAAACGAGGAAGAAACACTTTCTTTTAAAAGACCATATCAAACTAAAAAGAGAAAACGGTGAGCCTCATCATTAGCGTCTTCTTAGAACCATGGCTCGCAGCTAAGATGAAAGAATATAAGTAGAGCTATGTTCTTAATGTGACAAATATGGAGTGAAATTTCTCAATAATAAATACAAGTGCTATGATCGCTCTTCATCGTCGCTATCAGAAGTAAAAATCGAACATCATCTAACTTTGCAAGTTTCTTTGTCATCGAAGTTACATCCTATCAAATACTTTTCTTCTTCGTTAATTATTCCGATGTTATTACCTAATTTACTCATTTCTAATTCACTGCCCATATTCCAAAAAAAAGAATGAACCCTATCTTCGGATGCTGCCACATACTAGGTTGAACGATTACAAAAATGAGGTGAATTAGATTTTGATCAGAAATTGATGCTAAAAATTGGAACCTGCATCTGTTGCTTCCCAACACAACTGTCGAATATTGAACATAGAGTCTACTTTTTTGATATTTTTTATCTTTGCGAAATGGGCAACATTCACGCATAGACTCCACCGGATTGATGCCAAACGTCCAAGTATGTGGGCCCATCCATGGCTACACATGATGATGTGGTCAAAAGATTTTGCGGCAAAACATCCCTTACTCGTTTTGCTTGGTTGTCCCTCCATTTTTATACACATTTTGTCATTTTCCCCATCTTCCCCATATAATTGAACACTCCCTTTTCTCTCTATATATCCCATTAAATTTAACACCTGAAATCATCAAAAATTAATTACATCAGAGCCCATTTCCTCTTCGACAATGGCCTCTTTGACCTCTTTCTTCGTCCTCCTCGTTTTCCTCGTTTCAACCTATGCAGCTCAGAAAACGACACGTGGCAGCAATCGCGTCCGTCGGTCCTTCTCCGCCTCCTTCTCCCTCACCGCCTCCTCATCGACGGCTGGTATCAACTACAAGTCGGCGGTCAATTATTCGACGACGGCGCTGATCGTCTCCCTTCCCATAGGGACGCCCCCACAGGAACAAAAGATGGTTCTGGACACTGGGAGCCAGCTGTCATGGGTGACGTGCAACCAGAAACCCCCGACGACGTCGTTTGACACCTCCCTCTCTTCTTCCTTCTCCGTTCTCCCCTGTGAGCACGCGATCTGTAAGCCGAGAGTTCCCGATTTTACCCTCCCCACCACCTGCGACCCCCACAAGATTTGCCACTACTCTTACTTCTTCGCCGACGGGACTCTCGCGGAGGGTAATCTCGTCAAGGAGAGAGTTTCGCTTTCCGATTCCCGAACTACCCCTCCTCTGATCCTCGGGTGCGCGGCGTCGGAGACCTCCGCCGCCGGCCAGTCCGAGGGCATTTTGGGAATGAATCGCGGCCGCCTGTCTTTCGCTTCCCAGGCTAAGGTGAGGAAGTTTTCTTACTGCGTTCCCGGTCGGCGGACGGTTCCCGCCGCCGGAACGTTATACCTCGGGACCAACCCGAATTCTCGTACCTTCCAGTACGTGAACCTCTTGTCGTTCCCGGAGCCCCAAGGCATGCCGAATCTCGACCCGCTGGCTTACACCGTCGCGCTGTCGGGGATCAGAATCGGCGGGAAGAAGCTGAACATCTCGGCGAGCGTGTTCCGGCCGAACGCCGGCGGGTCCGGGCAGACGATCATCGATTCCGGGACGGAGTACACGTTTCTGGTGGACACCGCGTACGACGCCGTCAGGGGAGAGATATTACGCCGCGCTGGAGCTAAGTTAAAGAAAGGTTACGTCTACCAAGAGTCCATGGACATGTGCTTCGCCGGCAACCGGACGGAGATCGAGCAGTTGATCGGAGACATGGTCTTCCGGTTCGACAACGGAGTGGAGATCGTGATCGGGAAAGACAGGACACTGGAAGGCGTCGGAGGCGGGATTCTCTGCGTCGGGATCGGACGGTCGGAGGTGCTCGGAGTGACCAGTAATATAATCGGGAACTTCCATCAGCAAAACCTTTGGGTGGAATTTGATTTGGCGGGTCAAAGGGTCGGGTTTGGAAAGGCGGACTGTAGCAGGGGAGGGTAAAATCGTAAAGGTAAAAAATGGATTTTTTTTCTCAGGTGAAAGTAACAGTTTCTGTGATGAGTGGGACTGTTAAATTTGACTGTCAGTGAATAGAAGGATTCCACATTGTTATGTCGTTTTTTTACGGTCTTGTGCAATAGTAATTTTGTCATTTATTGTAATAAAAAATTGTGTGGGTTCTTTGTTATGAGCATCAGGGCTGAATCACATGAGGTTGTGAAGTAGAATCTGTCAATCTGATTGTGAATTCTAGATATACAGAAATAAAAGAAATCAATTTAAATAGAAGTAAAAAGATAATAAAATATCCAAATATGAATTTTAAATTTTTTTAAGATCAAAATAAGAGTATAATGAATGTGTAGAGTAAGAGTATGCATTGACAGTGTGATGAAAAAGTAATGACAAAATAATATATTAATATGATTAGTCAATCATCAGTGATCCACGACGACACTCTCGTGGCGGGCGGCGACGAATGGCATTGTGACAGTGATAATGTAGCAGTTACAATGTGACAATGTGGTGATTGTAGCAGTATAACCATAACAGTGTGAGCTCATATTTTACACTTAAATGACTTATGTGGAATTCTGCTGGTTGTTGTATTGCATTTGATTAAAAAATATTGTTAATTTCTATGAATTATAGGAAAGTGTATTTTAATATATTAAAATTAATTTTAGTTTTGTCTTATAATTTACTCCTAATTTAATCTGTTTCCCTTTAATTTTTACACGGAGGAAAGGGAAAATGCTAACTCTTTAATACTCCGTGTTTAGTACGTTGAAAAAAATACATCAAAGCAGATAATTCGTTGTAACGGAATTAATAATGCAAAAAATTGATTTTATCAAACAATTTCCACTCTTCTTTTATGTCAAATGGTATTGGTAATATTGTTAGAACACATGTAAAGAAAAAGAGAAATAATCTTACCCTATTAAAAAGAATGAGAAAATTATTGTAAAAATTGTTAGAAGTATTTCCATAACTTAGTACTCCTTTTTTTTTAATAAAAATTACTCCGTAGTAATTGTACGTTTTTTGTCACAAAATTTCTAATTTAACTTTCACCAGCCTCATCTCACGCCCTAATCGTTATTAGTGTTTAACAAATCCACTTGAATCAATCAATTAATCTGATCTAAAATACCCAATAACTATTTATCTATGTTTTTGTTTTGCATTCTAGTGTAAATGCCTGAAGGGCACTGGAAATACTCATGAAGCCTCGAAAACCTTCTCTCTGTCACGTCAGCTTTAACTTAACTCACAATTTCACTAGAAATGGGTTTGAAGCCCCGGGACTTCAAACCTTCATTTTTTACATTTTAAATAAACATTTTCTAAAATTAAATTCATTAAATTTAAATATTTAATTTTTTGAAAAGAATTGAAATGAGAATAGTTCAGTAAAAAAATTGTATTCATTATAAAAAATTACATTCATTAAATAAAAAAATTACATTCATTAAATAAAAAAATTACATTCATTAAATAAAAAATTACATTCATAAAAAAATAAAAAATTGTTGAATAATAATTGTTTTTTAAAAAAGATGGTAGAGAAATTTGTATTTGTGTTGAATTTTAAAAAAAAATTAATTTAATTTATAGAGAAGAAAAGAGGAAAAAAGAAAACAAAAAAAGAAGGAAGAGGCGTTATCACGCCTTCAAATTGCGTCAAAACTATGACGCGGGAGTTCTAACGCCCGGATAACAAGGGAGGAGGGCGATGTTTAACGCCCCCAAGCGTCAAACGGAGCATAACGTGTTTGCCACTGCTCTAATAGTTCATAGAGGATGACAATGAATTGAACACCAACTAGTAAATATTATTCACTTCATTGTTATTCCATGACAAAAAATATTGCCACGTGACACTAAAACAACTATATCTCTGTTTTTTTAAAGAAAAAACAGACCATAAAACATCGTTTGGTCGATCAGGACGACGCCCGTCCTAAGAAAAACCCAAGAAACAACAAACAAGCTAGAAAAAAGGGCACATGAAGAAGAAGAAGAAAAATACAACAATGGTTTCGGTTTCCCAACAAAACGCACACCCCCGGAAACATAGATGCACGTCCGACCTTCCCGACCACCCACTTATTCTTTAAGCAGAATAGTGGTCTCGGCGATCATGGAGGTCACCGTGTAGGGGTCCATGTTGGACGCTGGCCTTCTGTCCTCAAAGTACCCTTTCCCATCTTTCTCCGTGTCCCGTCCCACGCGAACTGAGGCGCCGCGGTTCGCCACACCCTGAAACATTTTGCACATGTTAATAACTTCAACATTTTTTCGAAAAACACTAGGAAAAGATATTCTCAAATTGACTTTTTATGATTTTTAAAAAGAGTTGAAAAAGGTGCCAATTTACTAAAATAACCTTGATAAAAGTGATGGAGTATTATTAAATGAAATGAGTGATATTAATGAACAAAGTTAGTGGCAGTAGTAGTGACACTTTAAACGTTAAAAAAAGTAAGAGAAAGATTTCTCCCGACAAAGCAAAATGGCATTTGGGAAGATCTATCCTAGCCCTGTAAAAGAATTTTCTAAGTAGACTTTTCACTGTTTTTAAGAAGAGTTGAAAAATGATAAAGTTATCAAATTACCCTTAATAAAAATAGGTGGAGTATTGGGTAAAGTCTAATAAATAAATAAAGGGTAGTTAGACTATTTCAAATGTTCCAAAAGATAATGGAAAGATCTTTTCTGGACAAGGGAAAAATTGGCATTTGGGGAGATCTTTTCTGACCATGGGGAATATATAACCGTGGGTTTTATTTTTTTTGTTTTTGGTGTGTGTGTTTGGGGGGGGGGGGGGGGNCAGTCTCGTGCTTTCCGGTGAGACGGCGTTCGTTGCCCTCACCATATGCAGCAATGTGCTCCTTGTGCCTCAGCTTCAACTTCTCAATCGCCTTCTTAATCACATCAATTCCACCCTCGTTCCTCATCGACAAAGTGCTGCGAAAACAAAAACACAAACAATAAACACGCCTTACTTTGTATAACGGACAAACATTTCAGAGCAAACGCATTCGTGCTCGCAAAAAAAAACCATCATAATCTAAGCATTCTTTACCTGTAGTTTGTGTGAGCACCGGCACCATTCCAATCGCCCTAGACATGAAGGTGAAAAAAACAAACAAGAATAATCAAATGATGCATTTTGGATTGAGCTATATGGGCAATGTTACCAATTTAAAAAAACTAAAGAGCTTACAGGAATTGGTTTGGGGTCAAATGAGACAACCACTCCAGATATCTCAGCAATCCTCTGTAGAACAGTAAAAAGTGAGCGGTAAAAAAAATTATCTGGCCAATCCTCGGAGTAACAGTTATGTTACAGTCACGCCATGGATGCCACAAGTTAAAAAAATAAAAAAAAAAGGATGTAATTATTTACCTCAAGAATATACCTAGCTACCCACACCTCATCACCAGCTGAAATGCCAACTGATGGGCCAACTTGGAATTCCCACTGCACATCACAACATGTTCATGTTGTAAAAAAAAGAAATGACACAAAATTATTCCCAAATGCCCACCAAGTCAAAAGGCCAAAAAAGGAATAAAGAAGATGAGAAAAATCAAAAGTTGGAAAAAAAAAGGAGGATTTAGGAGCTTTATTTGATTCTATAGGGTCCCGTTTGGAAAGATGAAAACGACTTCTGAAAATAAATTCATTTTCTTGAGTTTGGTTGAATGTTGATATATAATAAAAAAATATGGTTGTTGTTAACATAATAAAAGAACTAGGAAAAGAGTGGAAAATATCTTCCCCCAAAAAAGGGAAGACAAAATTCTCAGGTTCATTTTCTGTTCGACTTCAAAAAGTATATTTCGTTACTCCTATTTTGCAGAAGAATTAAACACCGGAAACTAAAAAAATGACTTCCGGAAATCACTTTCTCCTCCCAAAATGACCTTTATTTCAAGAGAAAAGATTCTTTTTTTTATATTCTTTTTTAAAAAACAAAATAAAAAAACGGTACAATTTCCTAAGGGTCCGTTTGGTATACGGAATTGATGGAATTGGAATTGTAATTCCATGAGATTCAATTCCATGGAATTGAATTCACCAATTCCCATTCATTTTTTGCACTATTAATTCCAAATCCACATAATTTTTGTGCTACCAAACAACAGAATTGGAATTGAAGTCTTCAATTCCAATTCCATAGTTTGAATTCTGTGTACCAAACGGAGTCTAACATTTTTTCTATCTCCTCAAAGGGCAGGCAAAATGTAAACCAATTTTTTTTATTATATACCAAGTATTTCTAAAAAAAGAACTATTTTCCGAGTATATTTCCGTCCATTTGCCAAACATTTTAGGAGATCCAAAAATGCCCATAATTTTTCAGTTCAGACAAAACAAAGTAAGGAGAAAATTGTCAAATTTAACCTGTCCAGGCATGACTTCTCCATTAACACCACTGATGTTGATCCCAGCATAAAGGCATGCCTTGTAGTGCGCATCTACAATGTCACGCCCAAAAGCTTTGTCTGCCCCAATCCCACAGTAGTATGGTCCCTGTGACACAAAATTTAATATTTTGGTAAATGCAGTAAAAAGACTAAAGTAAAGTTAGTTTTTTTTAAAAATCAAAACAAAAGTTATCGTAGACCTTGAAATAGTAACTCGGAATTTTATTTTGGGACGGAGAGAGTACGTACCTGTGGTCCAGGGAAACCTCCGAGAGGCCATCCAAGCGGCCAGTTAACATTCTTTTGCAGGAGAGTATACTCTTGCTCAATCCCATACCTGGTTTATACACACAATTTTCGTTATTCGCCATAGTTATTCACCTCAATATGTGTTGGTTATACCATTTGTACGTTAAGAATATTATATATGTTTATTTTCTTTAATTTATCAACATTTTCTTTGAATTTGTGACTATTTGTTTCGTTGCGAAACATATAAAATCTTGATCCCGAACATAAGAATACTAGGGTAGTAAATGTTAACATCATAGTAAAACTAATATAAGTGCGATATAAAAAAAATCTCTTTCAAACGGCAGCCAAACAGTGCTTCCAACTTTTCCTAGAGAATTTACCATGGCTCCTCTTTGGCAACATCAGGGTGGCTAAAGATCTTGGCAGCATTGTGTCTCTTGTTTGTTGGAATAGGCTCACCAGCTGGTGTGTATGCATCACACATCACCTACAAAACACAGCAAAAACTATGTCATTCAAGACCTCAAAAACTTAGGACTCGTTTGGCAGGCTGAAACTGTGAATGTGATGAAAATGTTGAATTATCCCAACAGAACTAAAAATATAATTCCTCAATAAATCCAACTCACCAAGATATTGTTGCCCTTCCTAAATGGATCCTTGAATATTGCTTGAGGGCTGTTCCAAAAAAAAATTATAGTCAAACAAACAAACCTCAAGCACAACAAAAGTTGAATGAATATAGACATACAATATGTCTACATTAATTTAGTTAAATGTGAAGGGAGGGAGTGATAATGCTGAGGCAACTTACTATAGGATCACTTCACTGTCTTCCCCCGGTGCTTGACCGGTGCTCGACCCATCATAGTTCCACTTCGGAAGCTTCGATGGATCAGTGACCGGACCAGCAAGGGTCTGCAAAAATAAAATTAAATAAATTTAAGTTAATTGAAAAGGATCTTAAAATTGTTGAACTGGGGTAGAAATAAGTAGTTAATATAAGGAGCTATTTCGTGTAGGTTTGTAGTGAATTCCGAATAAAAAAATATTCCCGTGTAATTTCTGAAAATTTTCCCACAAGATAAATCTAATAAAATTATTTTTGCATAATTTTTAGTTACTTAATAATTTAAGTTTTATCCAATTTGACTCAAAAAATGAAATTGGGCTGAGGATAGATCTTCATCCCTCCAGGACAGTTACCTAAGAAATTGGGTTATAAACTAAAATTTAGGATCAAAATAACGCGCAATTATTGATGATGAAAAATAATTGCTCAAATAACAGACTTTTGGACCAATAATACATGTTGAAAGTAAAAGACGAAAATACCCTGGCTTTGCTTCGGAGGTCCATACCAGATCCACCGATCCTGTTCAAACAGATCAGAGGCAATCAGATAAGAATGTTTTATACCCATAATTTAAAAAAAAACATACAAATACATAAAAATCTTATCTTTACATCAAATTGGTCAAACACAACCAAAGATCCAATTTTTATCAAACCCATAATTTCCAATCATCCATAACATATCAAAACAGGTGGCCACTAATCCACACCAACTCCCAGATTTACTCAAAAAGCAAGAAAACTAGATCATAAAACATCAATAAACTCGTGAAGTAGGAAAGACCCAAAACGGAATTCGAACTCAGAACTCCGGCACTGATCGGAGCTCGCCGGAGAAAAACAGGGGACAAACCCAGAAGAGATTAAAGAAACAGAGGAAAGCGAAAACAGAGACAATCAGGCAATGAATCTAACCGGAAACACATCAAGTACACAGATCGTAGTATAAGCCAGACACAAAGTTCAAAAATTCTAAAAAAATTAATCCGGGATCAAGTAAAGAATCCGGGAACTCACCATATGTACTCGGCGATGATCTTTTTCGTGTGATCGGCGAGGTCGAGGTTGACGAGATCTGAAAGCAGAGACATTTTGGGAGAGTTCTACTGTGAACTGAGCTGTGCACAGAGAGCGAGAGATGTGGGAGAGATTGGGAGAGAGAGAAGAGAAGATTGAGATTTTATAGGAGGAGAAGGCGTTTTCTTTGGAGAATATCACAATTTTCATAGGATTGGGTTTATTTTTGTCATTAATTTGAGATTTTTCAGATTCACCGTTTTAAAATATTAATCTAATTCAAATAGTAGATTTTTTAAAAAAATTCAAATATTAGATTTAGTGTTAGTTTTTTTTGTGTTTATTTGCATAATTATAAAATTATTCAAAACAATAACGCTTATTACTAATATTACCATTCGGTGAGGTTGAGGATAATTTTTTATTAGAACTAGAATTTTAAATGATTTTTTATTAGCATAGATTATTTTTGAAAATATGTAAATTAAGAGTGTCTATTAGAAATCATTTTCAAATTGTTCAATTTGTTGCAAACGAGCACCTATTCAAAAATTACGAAATTTTTTATTTATTTGATAAACTTATGTATTCACATCAATTTTTGTTTTATAAAATTTTAAGCATAGTTTTTAAAGTCTGTATATTTTATTTCTAACCAATATTTTAATAAAATGAATTGAAAATTTGAATTTCGCTTTGTTATACATAATATGACATCCTTTTTTAATTTGGAGAGTATTATTATTTGTCCGTCTTTTAAAAAACTTACATTATACTTCTTCAATTTTTTTAAACTAAAAGTAAATACTATTTCTCCCGTCTTAAAATGATCTTCTCAATCACTATTTACATGGTCAAACTTTAATAACTTTCTATATTTATTTTCGTTAGTTATTTGATAAAATAATATAGTCATGTCAAATTTTGTTTTGAAGAACTTTATACTTGATCCAATAATAGATTTTCAAGTAGATAGACATCCTTTGAATACTTAAAAGAATTGTACGAGTATATTTTACTACACTAGCATCATGATAACTTTTATTTACTTATACGTTTTTATTAATTATTTGAAAAAATAAAATATTTTTTTGCTCTGATTTTGTACTCATATATTCCCTCCGTCCTGAAATGTTCTTCCCACTCACTTTTTATCCGGTCAAACTTTAATCACGTTCTTTACCTATTTTCGTTAGTTATTTGATAAAATAATATAGTCATGTCAAATTTTGTTTTGAAGAACTTTATATACTTGATCCAATAATAGATTTTCAAGTAGATAGACATCCTTTGAATACTTAGAAGAATTGTAGAGTATATTTTACTAGACTAGTATCATGATAACTTTTATTTACTTATATGTTTTTATTAATTATTTGAAAAAATAAAATACTTTTTTGCTCTGATTTTGTACTCATATAAAACTTTTTACATAAGTTTTTAATGTATAAATTTATTATTTATTTCTAAACCCAATTTTAAATTTTTGACTCATACTTTCCTCCATACAATTTATTTTGGAATGCATGAAGTATTTATTTTTTAAAAATAAGTAACTCAACTCACCTTATCTCAACATATTCAAAGTTTTAATTTTTGCCACCGAAACCGTTTTTTTGAGCTTTTAGAACTTTTTTTTAATTTAGTGAAAGTTAAATACTCTCTCAGTCCCAAAATATTCACAACATTTGCTTTTTCAGCATTCGTGGAAACTTTTATTTATTTTTACGTTTTCATTAGTTATTTGATAAAATAAAATATTATTGACACTTCTTATTTTGAAGAACTTTTCATGTAATTTTTTTATATGTAAATTTTATTTTTTATTTCTATACCAATATGTAAATTAAATGGATTGAAAAAACTTAATATTTTACCTTGGAAATACAAATGTAGTAAATATTTAAGGATGGAGGGAGTAAAAAAAATATTTTGTGGGAGTGAGTACATTACTCCATATTATTGAGGGAAAGTTCTAAAAGAAAATCATTTGTGAGTCCCATCAGAGAGACCTACCCCAAAAATCTTATGTACGGAGTGGTTAATAAATAACAATAACAATTTTTTTTACATACAAAAAGATAGAAACATATTCTGATATTCCAATGCTAAAAACAGATTAGATATTTTTATTGCAAGAAAACACAATTATGAAATTTTTTTATATTTAACTTTAGGTAATAAATGAAGAAGATAATTAGAGATCTTTGATTGATTAATTTACACTTGAGTCAAGTTCTTTTGGTCAAAAAATAACTCAATTAAATGATCAAATAAATATGTAAGAAAATTCTAATTTTGGATAAATTTGGATATATAATATTATTTTACTTTAATCATATATAAATATATTTTTAAGTCGTTGGAAAAAACTAAAAGGAGAATCCTTGAAGGAATTGCAAAAAATTGAAATTGTAAGAGTTGAAATAAGTTGAAAGTTAATTTTTTCCGCTCAAAAGAATAGAACTTTATTATTGGTAAATTTAATAAATGACTATTTTAATAGCTCTCAAACTCATCAATGTAGTATTTGTTTAATTTAATAATTTCAAGCTCTTAAGTGCAGAAGTATAGCTTGATCTGGATGTGAAGAAGTTTGGGGTGGCTTCTTTTTTTAATGTTATTGACTCTATTACAAGGTAGTACATGTTTATATTATTCTCAATCTAATGACATGCAAAGAATATATGCTTCCGCCTCTCATGGAGCTCGAACCTGAGTATATTTCTCCATAAATCATTGGGAATAAGCTTTCTACCACTCAAGTCAGGGGGAAAGTTCGGGGTGTTTGCACAAATATACTTCACAAATAATTGACTACTCCATCCGTTTCAAAAAATTTACACTCTTTATTACTCCGTATTTAGAAGCCATGGAAAAAATTGTTTATTGGTGTGTTTTGATTGATTGTTTGGTAAAATAAAATATTGTTGTTACTTTTTGTTTTGTAAAACTTTTGACGTAGTTGAATATGTAAATTTTACGGAGTATTTTAAATTTCTATACTAATTTTTAAATAAAATAAGTTAAAAAGTACTCCGTATTTGATATTTTATTTCATTTTACATAAAATGCAAAACATTTTGAAACGAAAAGAACAAAATTACAAATCATTTTAGATTTTAAGTTCTGATATCTAACATGTGGTACATATTCTTTGAAGCTCAAAACTCTACATATCAGTGAAAATCAAAACAATACTCCGTGATGGTAAATATTATTTGACCCAAACATCTCGGTCCGAATTTTCCAATTAATATTACCATAATTATCATCACCAAACATTAGCCACTACTTACTCCTCATACTGTACTTTTCTTAATTACATCAACCATTCACTCATTACCATAACTACCTTCACTTATCACTCCCTACCATAATTACTCCCACCATTCACTCCCTACCATACTTATCTCCATAACTACTCGCTTATCTCTCACTATTATAGGAGCCCTTCACCTTCAGGATAAGGGGGCCAATTTCCATATTTTCTCATACACTACCATATAATTATACTCTCACAACTTAGAAAATACTCCTTGTATTATTTATTTTTTTTAGAGTTAAAAGGCTCCATCAATGGCTATAATGCCAAAATTATGTGTTGTGTACAATCCCCGGTATTAATAAAATCTTCCCATTGGCATGGTACTGCCGAAAAAAGCCCGTGGTTTTCTCCCGATTTGGGTTTCCACGTCAAAAATAGCTTGTTCGTATTTTTGGTGATTGTTTGGATCGCTTATCATTTTTACACGATAAAAATGATAAAACCGGTCAAAATAATTAACGCCATCATTTGGCGCCACCCGTGGGACTGATTAAGTTCGGCCATACAAAGATCAATGCTCGAGCTGCGCAAAGTCCGTGAAGATCTCACTACAAACTTTGGAAGTATATTTTAAAAAAAGTGCTTTTGAAATATTTCTCCTAAAATATCTGAGAAGCCTAGAGAGGATTTTGAATTTTAAAGAACAATCAACCACAGAAGTGACCCATTTACCAAAAATCATGTCACTCTCTCTCTCTCTCTCTCTCTCTTAAAAGGAAAGGTCAAAATCTTCTATACTGTTGATGCATGTTTCTCGATGTCACTGGAGGACTGCTTCCACGCCATGACGTCAGCCAAGAACTCGGATCCAGTAAATGGAAGTTGCCTCTGTTGAATGAAATTGATCTAGGCGGCTTAGATTTGTCGCCACCTTCGGCGATAAAATCTCCCATCACCACTGACTCTATTGGAAGGAATAAAAATTTTCCTGGTCATACCAGGCGATTGGATGCCCAATCAAATAACAAATAATGGTTGGAAGCCTAGTCCAAAAAAATTCAAGACTAGATGTCGTTGTACCTAGTCATCACGTATGAATTAGTGATGCACTAAACATACAGACTGGACGATATGGATGATGCATTAGACAGAGAGCTCTAGTGACTACACTTTCAGGGAAAGACTTAACCACACGTCGGAGTAGGGCGGAAGACCTAACCACACGATCGGAGTAGGGCGGTAATAAAAGATGCCTAAAATAGATAAAATAAGAATTTAAACCTGAAAAGGGGCCTTGGAAGAGGGGTGTTGTCTGAAAGAGGGCCATATAGAAAGAAAAAAGAATAATTGAGCTCTTATTAGGGATGCCCGATTCATTTAAGCCCTCTAAACGAGGTATTTTAGATTCGTCTCCGAGAGACATAGAAGAGATAATTACTTACATCAGTTAGTGAGACTAACACCATTTTAACAGTTGATTTAATTTGTATCGACCCATGTGGATACTAATTACGTTATACATTAATATGTGTTAACAATGGTCCCGTTGACAAAATGAATCACTGTGACTCTAGTTCGCTTCATATTAACATCATTTTTCTTGAGATGAGTTATTGGATTTGCTCTAATTTTTAGCTATTTGATCAAGATATTTATTATACCTAAGTAGGGCTCAATTGGCCAGACAAATACATATTGCATTTTTTACGGGAAAAAGAAGAAAAAAAATCAAAAGATATATTCGAAGATGCTCAAAGACCAGCGAAGGGCAATGAGAACTAACAAATCGTGATCCTACCAACCTGTCAAAATACAACACGTGAAGATTGAAGATACGACTCGAAGAGATTGTTTACTTTCTTGAGTTGATGATTCTCACAACTCAAAAAAGTGGGGGACTTTATGATGGGAAATATTATTTGACCCGGACATCTCAGTCCAAATTTCCCAATTAATATTACCATAATTATCATCACCAAACACTAGCCACTAATTACTCCTCCTACCATACTTTTCTTAATTACATCCACCGATCACTTATTACCATAACTAACTCCACTCATCACTTCCTACCATACTTACTCCCACCATTTACTCCCTACCATATTTATCTTCATAACTACTCTCTTATCTCTCACTATAAAAGGAGCCCTTCACCTTCAGGATAAGGGGGGCCAATTTCCATATTTTCTCCTACACTACCATATAATTATAATCTCACATTACTTGGAAAATACTCCTTGTATTATTTATTCTTTTTAGAGTTAAAACGCTCCATCAATGGCTATAATGCCAAAATTATGTGTTGTGTACAATCCCCGGTATTAATAAAATCTTCCCATTGGCATGGTACTGCCGAAAAAAATCTGTGGTTTTCTCCCAATTTGGGTTTCCACGTCAAAAATAGCTTGTTCGTATTTTTGGTGATTGGTAGGCTTGCTTATCATTTTTACACGATAAAAATGATAAAATCGATCAAAACAATTAACACCATCACTCCGTATTAAAATATACTCCGTATTAAACTACATTATACGCCTAAAATGGTACTACGTATAATCTAATTCTTTGAGTTCTATTTCTACACCCTTCAATTTTGAATATCTTAGTAAAATAATCCATTCATTCCAAAAAGAATGACACAATTACTATTTCAATTTCTCGATAACTTTTGTTTGTTAACTCGTTTTAGTTAATCATTTGATAAAAAAATATTCTTGTCACAACTTGTTTTGTAGAATTTTTTATATACTTTTGAACGGTGAAATTTTTAATTTTTATTTCTTTACCAATTTGTAAATAAAATGGTTTAAAAGATGCACTCAGGTAATAGTTTGCACGTCCTTCGAAATGTTGCAAACAATTTGTGATGAAGGGAGCATAATGCTACTTCTGTGTTAGATAACTCGTTCAATTTGATTTTTATGAATCAAATTAGATAGATGCTGATCATCAATTAAATAAAATTATATTTAATAATAATATAAAATATAATTAATGATTTAAAAAATCAAAATGAAAACAATGTAATTTGTACCAAGCACGCGGTATAAGTTGAAAGGGTCATGCTACTCTTACACCAAAAATTGTACCTCATTTGTACACCGCAGTTATACACAAACATTTTGATGGTTTACACCGACACAAGTGTTGGTGCGTTAACAAAAATTTAGACGAATACAAAGTATTGATATGTTAACAAAAATTAGTTTCACCAACATAAAATATCAATGCAAACCTGCGGTGTACAAGATGAGGTACAAAAATTTAGAATACAAATAATCGAAGTTGAAAACTTGTAATTGAGTGCTACGTCCAAGGCACTAGACAGACGTTTGAAGTATTCGTAAACAACGGAAGGGAATGAACGGAGGTAGAGAGAGTGCCTTTTGACTTTAGGGGCCGTTTGGAGATGGTTAGGTGCTGACCGGTAAAGTTCTCCTCACTACAATCTCTGCACATATATAATCATGCCCACTATTTACTTTTCTCTCCCTCACCTACTCCTTGGCTACTTAAGAAGGTCCCAAACAACCACCATTGGTTTGTTGGCAACCCTACCAAAATGGAGCATACTACATACCCTTAAATTTGTACCCTATTTATGCACTAAAAGTGTGCTTTAATATTTTGATGGTTCACACTGACACAAAGTATTGATGCGTTAACAAAAATTTACACTGACACAAAGCATTGATGCGTTAACAAAAATTAGCATTACACCAACACAAAATATTGGTGCATCCTTGTGGTGTACAAATCCTAGGGGTACAAATCGCTTTATCCTATCCAAATTTGTCTACTCCCCGTCCCAAAATGTTTGCCACATTCCTTTTTTAACCATCGCGAGAATTTTTGATTATTTATACGTTTTCATTGATTATTTCATAAATAAAATATTCTTGATACATCTTATTTCAAAGAGTTTTCATGTAGTTTTTAAATATATAAATTTTATTTTTTATTTCTATACCAATATTTAAATAAAATGAACTAAAAAAAATTAACATTTTACTTCAGTTTTTGAAATGTAGTAGACATTAAGGGACGGAGGAAGTATTTTTCATGAGCGTATTTCTTTCAAATTATTTTAATATATTTGAAAGTAACATTTGAGATTGTATAAAATTATTTAGAAGAATATCATGTAAATAAAATATTTAATAAACAGCTTCATCCATTTCAAAATAAGACTTCTCCTATGTTTTACAATGTTTGGCCAAATAAATATAACTAAAAACTGGTCTAAATTTTCTCTTAACACGAGTCTTATTTTGAAAAAAATACAGCGAAATGAGATTCAGTTTCTAAAACAATAATTTTCCTAGAAATAAAGTATACGTTTTGTGAGTGTTTATCTATAAACAACATATAAATAGTTTCAAAATGGCTTATAAATAATTTTTAAATTATAAGTCAGCTGATGACATATTTCTGTGTGCTTATAAGTTGACTTAAAAACTTCTTATAAGCTAGAAAAAATAAGTAAAATTTAGCTACTTATTTTTTAAGCCAATTCATTTATTTCTCCGTTTTGACTATATTATTTACAAAACTGTCTCTCACTATTTATGAAAATTTACAAATGATTTATTTATTATTTAAGTTAGTTTACTTCCACAAAAGAATATTTGACTTATAAACGGCTTATAAGTTAATTAAGCTGCTTATCTGCAGTAAGCCAATAAGTACCAACACAGAAAAACACCCCTTTATATTTACATCAAACTGAGTACGTTAAATATGAAATTACCCTCACTAAATAATACTTCATTTATCCTTTAATTAGTCTCATATTTACTTTCCACAAAGTCAAACTAAATTTGATTTTTAATACATTTCGTTGATCACTTTAAAAGTAGTAATTTCACCACTTTTTAGGACTTCTTGTGTACGTTTTTAATATATATTTTTATAAAATCCTAGAACAATTTTAAGTTACAATTTTTTAAAGTAACTCAAGTTAGATATCATAAACTAAAACAAGCATGCACCTTATTTCAAAACTAAAGCAGCAAATAAATAGAGTTTATTACATATTTTTATTTACGTGATATTTTTTATAATAATTGCAAACATTCCGAAAAGGTTTATTTTCAATTTTGTTAAATTATATTTATAGTTTTATTTATTATATTCTCATCTTATGAATTTTAAAGTTAATTTTATTTCAAAAATGAATCAAATTGAGAAAACATCCCATTAAAAAGAATTATCTTGGAAAATTAGTTTAAGTTTTAACATTGTTTTGATATCGTTTTGATGGCGTTAATTAGAAGACTAAACTGAGCATTATTTTCAATTCATAAATGTCATCCCTTTAATTATTTCATCTCGAAGGCTAATTTAAAAAAATACATAGTTATTAAAACTGTTTTGAAAATTTACTCCATATTTTTACATGCAAGACCTATTTTGTACTTCTTTCGTCCTAAAATTAATTACTCATTTGACTTTTCACGGTCTTCAATTTAACACTTTGATCATCAATATTTTTATTTATATTATAAAATTAAAATATTTCAAAAGTATGTTTCAAAATTAATCTATTGATATGAAGTTTATATGAAAACTCAATGTATTATTTCGTAATATACTATCAAAATTATAAAAGTTTGACCATAAAAATTAAACTGAGAAATTAATTTTAGGACGAAAGAAATAGTTAAGAAGTGCGAGACAACATAAATAAAGGACCTTAGACCAATGATAGAAACACTCATTAAAATTATATCATGACAAGAGTGGAAAATTTATAGGGAATACATAAAATAAACTTAAAAAATATCAAGAGTATAAGAAATTGACAATAACTAAAACACTACTTTATTAATATTGTATTCCCTCCTCCCATATTAAATCACATATTTTGGTTTATAATGTTTGAGTGTAATTATTTTCAATTTATTTTATTTGAGAATTGGGGTTGAATTAAAAAATATAATTTACATATTTAAAAAATATATAAAAAAACCATTCAAAATAAGTGGTGACATTACTATGTTTTTATGAAATAACTAACGAAAATTAGTAATAAAATAAAATTTGATCATGTAAAAAGTAAAGAAATAGGTATAATTTGGGACAAAAGTAGTTTTGAGGTGCAAACCGTAACACAAGGAATAAGAGTATTACCATGATCTTGTTTGGGAACAACGCTTTCAGTTTGCATTAAAATTTCTGATAAAATTTTAATGATGTAGATTTATTCTTAAAACGCTAACAATAAAGGCTACGATCGTATAATCTTTTCAAAATGCTAACATTAACCTCTAGCGTTTATGCCAAACGAGGCATATACTAAACAGGGCATATATTTGAGAGTATGGGCAATCAGAGTGCAAGTGAATATACAAGGCTGGTCGAAAAATAAAAAATAAGATACCGAGTGAAAATTTATAAAAATATTTATAGATGAAGTAAGAGTGTCAATGTCAATTATGACTACCATTGACATGTAACACTCTATTGTAGAATAATGATTGTAATAGTGAGATTGTGATTGATGACATTTCAATATGTTATTGTAGCCTTTAAGGCTATGGGATATGGTTCTCGTTTTTCCCATTTCCCATTCTGTCAACTCAGTGTCATGTCAGTTTTTCTTTTTAATTCTCCTTATCTTCCACCGGCTCAGCGTCGAAATTAGACTAATTGCTACTTCATAAATTAAGAAAGCACAGACAATTTAAAAATCAACTTTACTTTATTCTATTACACTTCAAAAGCCAAAAAAGAATGAACTTTCGACTTTATGGGCATGCCTTGTTGAGGTCTGTGTAGTCTACGCACATCCTCCAGGTATCACCCTTCGGAGCCAGGACTACATTGGCCAGCCATTCAGGGTAGTTTACTTCCCTGATATGACCTACCTCAAGTAGGTCCTTGACCTCTTTCTTCACAAAGTCCCTCCTATCACTTGCCAAAAATCTCTTCTTCTGTCTTACAGGCCTAGATCCCTCAAGAACAGAGAGACGATGGCAAATGACTGACCGGTCAATCCCGGGCANNCCAAGAATGGCATTATGTACACACTTGATATCAACCACAACAAATCTCATTTGCTTGGTTACTATTTTGTTACCCGACCCCAAGGTAACTGGTAAGGTGATCTGACCTTCCGCTTCTATGCTAGCTCCAGTGAAGCCTGACAATGGAGTTTGCAACGGTCTCAACATGGACCTGTCCAGCTTCAATTTCTTGAAAGCATCCAAGTATAAAACATTGACACTGCTTCCTGTGTCAACCAGGACCCTGGCCACATCTGCTCCATTGATATCCATTGTAATAACCAAAGGGTCATTATGATCTCCCCCCGTCCTGGGCAGATCCCTATCAGTGAAAGTGATAGGTTCCCTCCTTGCCTGCTTCCCATGTGACTCCAGGGAAACCACCGCCACGTGCAAGCTCCTGGCCCAGTTCTTCTGCTGGGACGCAGTGTCCCTGCCTTCTGGGCCGCCGACAATCATCTGTATGAATTCTTTATCCGGATTGTTGTTATCCTTCCCGGATTTTCTCCTTCCCAGGTCTTTTCCCTGATGACGGGTCCAGGTGTTCGCTTTCGGGTCCTTCTTATTACCCGTCGCGTAACCTTCCCCAAGCTCCCCTTTCAAGGCCATCTCCTTGAGCACAGCCTTGACATTTCGGCAATCCGCCGTGTTGTGGGAATCGGATTGGTGGTATGTGCACCACTTCTCCGTCCATTGTCTCTTGGGTTGCTCTCCCTTCTTATCATCCCTTATTTGGTGGATGGATCCGTCATATGTGGCCTTTAGTTTGGACCCTCCAGTCTGCTCATCTTTCTTTGGCTTGTCGGATTTCGATTTTGTGTAGCCTTCCTCCAGCTCCCGCTTATTCTTGTTCAGCACTTCTGCCTCGGCATATTCCCATGCCGTATTGTAGGCTTCCTGATAAGAGGAGGGCGGCCTCCTACAGAATTCAGTGTAGAGGTCACCTGACCGGAAGGCATTCATCAACAAAGACATGGCCGTCTTATCGTCCATCTCTTCTACCTTGTCAACCTCATCCCTCCAGCGGGTTAAGAATTGAGTCAAGGTCTCCTTCTCCCTCTGCCCTACCGTGTTAAGGTAGGTAAACTTCTTTCTCTTGATGCAGTTGTCCTGGTACTTCTTGCGGAAAACTTCAGCAAGTTTCTCAAAGGACCCAATCTTGCCATGGGGAAGGCCGTTAAACCATTCCACAGGTCTCCCTCTCAAGGATGAGAAGAAGAGCAAGAATTCCTCAGCATCAGTGCACCCGGTCATCTGTGCTGCATTGTGGAAGGTGTCAAGGTGGACGTTTGGATCCTCCTTTCCAGTGAATTTTTCCACGTCCAGCTTGACCTTACGCCTCAATTTTTGTGCATGTACCCTGGCCGAAAAGGGTGATTTGGCCAGGGTGTGCTTCTTTGCTCCCGCCTTCTCGTCCACCTTTTCTTCCAGGGCACGTAGCTTTCTTGCTACGCTTCCTATCTTGTCCAGGTCATC